GTTTGCTCGCTAGATTTTTAATCTTTTGCGCAGGCTAACAATTCGGGGTAGTGGCGATGCAATCGCTACAAAATTATTTTGATTTCCGTGCAACAAAATTATTTTCAGATCCAGTTTTGACCTTCCAGCAAAATCGTTCTTTCCGTGTGCAGACGCGAGCTGTCGGATTGACTTGAAAATTTCGCGTTTGTGGCGAATCATGAAAATTGTAATTACCCAGGGAAGTATAGCAACGAGTACGTCCGCAAAATAAAGGTGTGCCGTAAATGGAACATCAAATATTTCTTCGCGCGTAATGCGGCATGAAGCCACATCCGGTCAACGGAAAATGCGATGCTGATGACTTCTCTCGCATTAAACTTGCGGCGCTATCGCACAATTAAGCCTCTCTCATAAAATCCGCCGTTCCTTAAAAGCGAAGTCGCAACAACAGCAACTATGCGAGTCGCAGCAATCGGGATACTCTGTTGATAGCTTTTTGGACGGAACGGGTTTGATCGCTCCGAAAGCGATTAATGTCATCCTGTTTATATAATGTTTTCGTATATGACGTCATTAATCGCTCTTGGAGCGATCAAACTCGCTCCGTCCGAAAACACTATCAAGATTTCAGAGCAAGAACGGGAATAAATTCATTAACGAGGTTACGCTTTGAATATAAGCTGGTCGTCTGTAGGATTTCACGTACGGGACAGTCACTTTATTCTCAGCCTGAACTTTGTACGTATAACTTTGTAATATTAAACAGTGATAATACTTTATAACTGTTTAATATTTTTGGAACTGTTAACCTTGACTTCGTGTAAACGTAAGATACGTAGAACTTGATTTATCCGCATCGAATCTTGCATAATATTGTTGACATCGGCACGTCCCGTTGTACAAAATACAAACGGAAGACGACAGAGATGACACAACTGAAAGGTTACACAATTCTCTTTAGGACAATAATGAATAATGTATAATCGCTTTGTGTCTTTTCTTTCCTTTTTTTTTGTACTGTACATTTGTCCGCGCAAATGCATGCGCATACCCAATGAAACGCATTCTTCTTAGCTTTTTCAATGAAAAATTGCTGATGTTTCATCATCGTGATTAATCACAACTGGCCGAGGAGAATTAAGAAACGTGTATTGCGTGGATCTTTTTCCATTCATCAAAGTGTTATAAGAGATCCCGCGTTTCGCATCGTGAATTCCAATTTTTACGGGATATCACCTTGAAGCGGTTCGGCACCGAGAGCGCCGCGCTCGTATACCGTATTCGTGTCACGGTCACGGAGAGATTGCTTCGCGGGATTCAGGACCAGTTTTGAGCCATAAGACTTGCTCTTGGAGTGCAGGTATCTAAGAGACCTAAATATAATCTTTACTGAGGATAAAATGTTCTGAAATGGTTTTTCTCTTGCTTCTGTGAAATTGACACGTTTCAAGATACCAGAATATTCGTATATAAAACACTCGAATAATTCTCGCTCTTTGAATTCTGTGATAATAAATAAATCATTTCTCGTCATTTAAATCCATCGCCATTGTCATTTAGAGCTTGTTTACGTTTAAATATTAGTAATCTAGTAGATTTACGACATAAAGAGCTTATATCAATACATATTTTATGGCGACACGTGTTACATCAATATATATTTTATATTTAAAAAAAATACAAAATGATTCTGTGTGAGAATGATTTAAGATCCTCACGTCTATAAGATTCTTACTAATAAATCATTGTTATAGTCATTTAAATTCATCGCCATTGACATTTAAAACTTTTTACATTTAAATATTAGTAATATAGTACATTTCCGATACATTGTAAATATAAAGATTTTATATCGATACATTTTTTATCACGAGATGTATTATACCGATACATATTTTACATTTTTAGAAAACACAAAATAATTCTGTGTAAAAATAGTCCAAGATCGTCACGTGCAACAGATCTCTTAAATTGAATAATCGCGGAGAAAAGTGTCTGCAGCAGCAATTAAAAGCAGCAATTACGCAGAAATTATGCTCGTTACTTGTTCAACCAGTTTCCTGGATCCAGAGAAAGATAATCGAGAAAGGCGAGTGAAAAAAAGTCCCGTACGTTTTTGTCGGAGAGGCCAATTGGAGGAATTCTTAAGAAAGTAGCTGGGAAACGCGAGCGGTTTGCGATAAAACGCACCGTTAAAACGGTTCATAAACGTGGGATCGCATCGCTCTAATAATTCATTCCATATATAATAAATACTCGACCGGCTGAAATGACAATTTAATTCGCAATTCAAGGATAACTTGTAAAAAAGAACTTGTTGTTGTGCTTTTTGCAACTCCTTTGTCTTTTTTTCTCGTTTTTTCTCGCTAGAAACGAGCGATAAAGTTGCATATCATCTTCAATTCTGCTAATCATCTGGTGTGTACAGATGTAAACACTTTTTGTATCTCTAATGCGTAATACATAATGATTGAATCGCTTGATTTATTAAAAAAGTCTATTAGAATATTCACAGATAAATGCATCCACGTGTTCTTATCCTTATCTTTTTTCCTCCAATAAATTTTAAACTGAATACTGTCATGTAAACTTTAAAAGGCCTAATGTCAAGGTACCATTGATCAATTTATCCTCAAATGTGGTACATTGAAATCCGGTTCGAAAGTGGCATCAAACGGAAGGTCTCATCAATTTGAAGCCAACACAAGAATTCAAGTTTGGAGCGATTCACCGTTTCAGAGAAAACAGCTCCTAAAAGTTTCAAAACCGATAGACACCACTTTTGTTCGGATTTTGATCGTGCTCTAACTTGTTCCAAAAATTTATTTTAACAAAATATGTTTAAATTGGGGTCGCCAAGAGTTTCAGACTTAACTAGAATTGCTCAAGAGATTCCATCATCAGCATCAGGGCAAAAAGTAAACGATTGGTTCATTGAGTTCAATGTAAACATTATTCACTCGAGAGTCTCGAGTCAAGAAATGATAAAGGACATTACAAAAACACTCTCGGGAAATTAATTAAGAGAATACAGATTTTATTCAACTGATTGTTCATTTTTTGCTTTCTTGGACAGTTCTAGTTAAGTCTGAAACTCTTAGTGATCCCAATTTAAACATATTTTTTGCTAAAATCAATTTTTGGAAATAAGTTAGAGCACTCTCTAAATTTTCTAGAGTGAATCTCACTCCAAAAGAGTGAAATCTCACTCCAAAAGAGCGAAAATACTGTCACTCGGTCACTTGAGTGGCAGTATTTTCACTCTTTAGAGTGAAATTTCACTCCAAAAAATTTAGAGAGCACAATTAAAGTTCATATACCTAAACAAAAGTGGCCGTCTGTCGGTTTTGGCACTTTTAGAAACTGTTTTCTCTGGAAAGTCGCTCTAAGCTAGAATTTTTTTGTTGGCTTCGGATTAATGACATCTTTTATTTGATACGACCCGCCTCTTTAGAACCGGATTTTGATGTACCAAATTTGAGGATAATGTTGGCATCAGTCTTTCTGAATATTCTGTGTACAAAAATAAGTTATAGCACATGTTATTATAATTGTATATTAGGCCTTCCACAAATGTAAAATTAACTTTGATCTCGGTCTAACTTGCTGCTTATCTCTTTTTAATTCTTAGAAAAGGATTAAAGCGAGTTCAACTTCGATTAAATCAAGTTAATCGCGAATTGTGAAACCGGGCCTTAGTAATGACCTATATATAAAGTATATATCCTTATTGATGTTTCGGGAAATCTTGCGTAAAATCCTACATTTAACATTAATTTCTAATCACGAAAGAAAGAAAGCGTGAATATTAAGTTGCACAAGTCACCAGCAGCGGCGTATTATGCAATAAAGCATAGCAATGTTATCGTAACATTTTAAGATTGCGAAAGTACAGCACTTTCGACAAATTTCTATTACGTAAACTCGTCTCTGTTTATGGTAGCACGCCGTGACCTAATAAACGATTGATTGAACGTACGCAGTATAACGACAGATTTGCAAACAACAGAGGAGTTACCACGTCGCGGAACTGGGGCGAGGAAAAAGAATTCAGACGCGGCTCTCGCGATTTTTCATGATTACGTGAAGTAGCCGAGCGAGAGAGACGCTGCCCGCGCGATTGCGAGGAACGCTATCTGATTTTCACGCCGCGCCGTGCGAAAGAAAACTGCAGGACGGAGGGATTCTTCGGAAACGTCACTGGGACAATGGGAGAAAGGCGAGCGCTATACTCACGTTTGATAACGACATATTGCGAGCATGGGACACGTTAAGGATCGTGTAGCGGATTGAAAGAGCGTGTCAAAATAAATGAGTAAACTGCACGATCGGAGCACGCGTTACGGGGCGTACGACCGAAAATGCGGAGAATTCGGCCCCGTTCACCGGTCTTGCACGTGCGCCGACCGTACGCTCGTGCATGCCTAGAAAGTTGACTTGACACGAGATATCGGTACGCGATATATCGGGCCAGTCGCACGGCTTTTCGACTTGTTCAGATCGGCGTTCGATCGCGGGTCTACGGTCGCGCTATACACACGATGCGATTTCTGACTTCAGGCCGTTTTGCACGCTTCACGTCGACGATGCGACGTGCACGTAAGTCTAATGCAAATGCTGACGCGCGCGTTGCCGGTCACATATAGGCGCGCGATACGATTTCCATTACACCGGGATACAAAAAGAAACGTATACGTGCGGCGAGGGGGGGGGGGCTCAGTGCAGCTCGCGAGCGCGCACTTTCGTTCGCGAGACGGTTTTTCTTTTTACTCACTTTCTAACACCGGTGTCATGATGCGCTCGACGGTTTCCACACTTGTCAGCGGCCGACGCGTGACTCGCAATTAGATGTTAAGACACGAAACTTCAAATGTGCAGTGGTCGGACCTGAATTCGAAAGTCGATCACGGACGCGCTCGGCACTTCCAGACGATCCGAGCGGCACCCGAAAACGCTCGAAAATGCCGCTGGCCCCACACCGGGATCCATTCTTATACCGGGACGGTATATGAGTCTTCAGGGTCAAGAAGGTAGGCAGTAAAATCGCGCCGCGATTTTGCACGAGCGTTGCATGGCAGCACCGTTGCCTGCATGTGAATGCGACTGACATCAGGTGTAATTTTATTGCCGCTGGCCGTAACAATAAGCAGAGCCGCGCTGGCGACGCGGCGGTATAGCGGTATGGAAATAAAATAGTAATTAACTTAACGACATACGGCGATTATGGATATTGGCCAATTAATTGAACGATAGGACCAGTGCGTCGCATATAAATATTCAATTAAAATTGTTAGCACGTCATATCGGCGGGCAATTCTCGCGTTTATTATACGTCAATGACCTGCAAAATTATTTCGCGAAAAGAAAATACTCTTCTGTAAAAAGAATGTAGAATTGAAAATTCTTTGAGGAAGGACTGTTTTAAATGAAATCAAATTGCGGAATTGTCGGAAGTGGAGAATTGTATCGCTTGGTACAATGTCGAGACTGTCATCACGCGTATTCATCAATTGTCACAATTGCTGTCTATGATAATTGTGAGAAACATTAATGTGATAAAAAACGCGATTTGATGCAAATACAAACTCGAATAATTTTTTAGTCAGTGCATAAGCATTAATTTCTTTTTTTTTTTTTTTTTCAGAAATAATGAACGTGACTATGCATGACAGCGTAGTTATTATAAAATCTTTTATATAATGAATACACAGAAAATATTGTTTTTTTAATAGAGGAATTATTGTGCTATTTAAGATATTTCTTATATACTTCCCATTAGATACACTAACTTGTATCTAAGTACGTAAGTTAATATTATGTAAGTCAATATTAGAAATTAAAAATATCTTAATGTTTAAGAGACTTATTAATATATGTTATATATGAAACTTTTAACAAGAACAAATTTGTGTGTTACAAGCTTTTCTGGTAAAAGATATAATTTAATTCAACCAAAATCATATGTATTAATTTTCAAGGATACGTTCTTTACAAATAATAAATTTGTAAAGAAAAATAATAAAAAATATGGTTGCGAAAGTTTATGTAGACGGAAAGAATTTTATTTTAAAATTTATCCTGAAAATCATGTTAATCGTGAGACAACATAGTTTTATAGTATTTCGACAAATTTTATGTATTTTCACTATTTTTTAACATATATACTACAACAAATTTATTGTAATGTACAGTAAAAAAACAGAGAAACCATATAAAATATATCGAAATACTATACACTGAAAAAAGTAATTTTGCAATTATAGTGAGAATTATTTAGGTACGAAAAATTAGCTAAAACAAATAGGTGATTAGTAAGCACTGCGATACCATATATGTTTTGTATTTAATATAGATAACAGAGACAGAAATTATATCTAAACTATTTGTCAAATTTAGCAAGAAAGTTCCTCTATGATGTTTCATCAATCCAAACTTCAATTCAGATTCCAATCACATTTAATTACGAGACCTTATATTTTCTTATATATATTCTTAGAATATTGCTGCTATAAATTCTATGTATGACAGACAATTTTTTAGCAGATACAAAAAAAAACAATGATATAATTTAAGTGTAATATTTAGAATTTTAGCTGAAATAGGGAAACATTTCCTTGAGTGTATATTATCCCACGATTAACATGATTTTCGAGATAAATTTTAAAAATATGTACACGAAAAATTTTTCCGTGTACATATTAACAATAAATAAAAAAATATCCAACATATAATAATAATACGATGATTTGAGAGCATGCTCATGCTTGACATATTCGCTCTCTCTACCACGCACTTATCGCATATAAGTTAAATACATTTAATCATTTTATAATCATTATATTATCATAATTTTATCATTTTATGACTAATGATATGTATATGAGTAATGATATACAGTTATAAAATGCTAAATAAATGAGTATGAGTTTTGTCAAATCGTGTCACGTACGATTTGAAAAAATATCATGATTCTATTTAGAAAACATGAGAAATTTTATAAAGATATCGATATAATTATTATTTCATAAAATTGTAATATGTACATAAAATTAATGTAAAATTTTTTACAACAAATCTATTTTTATAAACATCAAGTGCAGGATAAAACTACACCATTAGATTGTTATCATAAATTGATAAAAAATTACATCAATTGTATTCGATTTTTTAAAACGTTTAAAATACACGCAAAATAAAATATATAATCTCAGAATTTTTTGTCTATATTTTTCACTGTTTATTTATTTTATATTTTTATTAATAAATGTTAGTGTATTTAATTTAAAAAAATTGATAAAATACGATTTAGATAATTAGTACGCATTAGGCAATTGTTTTTTAAATCATATAATAATTGTTATATTTTGTAATATAATAAAGTATAAATAAAATCTTGCACTCATTTCATGTTGATATTCAGTGCAATGGAAATCAAGTCCCTCACGTTATACTTGTCATTCTACTTGCCTTAGAAGTGAAATGTAATACGCGCAATAAAACCACAGAATAAATATGGA